TGGAAAAATGAAATTAAAAGAAAAATTATTCTGGTGCAAAATTTGAAATCCACCTCATAGTTTTTCATGGCACCAATTTTCCATGAACTTTTTAAGGCCCCATGTATGCATGTACTTCAAAACAATTTTACACCAAAATAAACCTAATTTTAATTCCATTTCTATAAACTTTTGAATTTACCCTTATATGTGTATATACCAAATACTTACCTATATAGACATCTATGAAGACATTCAAGTATATATGCATATATATGCATATACATACACATATATATATATATATTCACACACCCCTCAAAAGAGATAAGAATTTAATCCTAATTTCAAATCAGAAACATATTTAGGATAAAGGTAAGGAAGAGAGCAACTGCCACTTTAAAATAGATTACATGTCACCTACATTTCCTATCTCCATTTCTTGGATGATACTCTCTTGATTATCTACTCCACAGTTTGCATAACAATCTGTGATGACTTCCCATCTCTTCTAGCTTCCAATTGTAATGACTGCTTAAAAAGTGTAGCTTGGAAGTCAGAGAACAAGTTTGAACACCAAGGAGACCTGGCTAGAGCCATGAACCCACTAAGTAGTACAGCTGTGTGTTTAAGTAAATTTCATGTCACTCTGAACCTCCATTTAAAGGTATGTAAACCCCATTGTGGTTTTGATTTGCATTTCCCTGATGGCTAGTGATTCTGAGCACCTTTTTTCATGTGTCTATTAGTCATTTATATTTCATCCTTTGAAAAATATCTGTTCATATCCTTAGCCCATTTGTAAACTGATTATTCATTTTGTTGTTATTCTGTCTGTTGAGCTGCTTATATATCCTGGATATTAATTCATCAGAGGTATAGTTTACAAATATTTTCTCCCATTCTGTTGGTTGCCCCTTCATTTTGTTGAATGTACCCTTTGCTGTGCAAAAGCCTCCTAGCTTGATGTAATCCAATGTCTATATTTTTGCTTTTATAGCCTGTGCTTCTGGGGTCTTACCCAAGAAGTATTTGCCTATTCCAATGTCTTACAGTGTTTCTCCTATGTTTTCCGCTAGTAAAATGATGTTTTTTAGGTCTTAGATTTAGATCCTTGATCCACTGTGAGTTGATATTTGTATAGGCTATACAGTAGGGGTTCTTTCATACTTCTGCGTGTGGAGATCCAGTTTTTCCAATACTAAACTGTTCTTTCTCTAGGGAGTGATTTTTAGCTCATTTGTTAAAGATCAGTTGGTTGTAGATTCAGGGATTAATTTATGGGGTTTCCAATCTGTTCCATTAGTCTACATGTCGATTTATGTGCCAGTACCAAGCTGTTTTGATTGTAGCTGCCCTGTTCTGTGTCACCTTATTTAGGTTATCACCTAAAAATCAAAAAATAACAAATGCTGGTGAGAATGTGGAGAAAAAGGTATTTTAATATGCTGTTTGTGGGAATGTAAACCAAGGCAACCATTACAGAAGATAGTATGGCGATTACTCAGAAATCTGAAAATTGATCTACCATATGATCCAGCCATGCCACACCTGGGAACTTACCCAAAGGAAATTAAATCAGCACATGAAAGAGGTATGTGTACTCCATATTTATAGCAGCTTAACTCATAATATCAAAGATATTGACTCAATTCATATGTCAACCAACTGATGACTGGGCAAGGGAAATGTCTGTATGCATGATGGAATACTATTCATTCATAAAAAGATGAAATCCTGTCTTTCACAATAAAATGGAGACCATTATGCTTAGTGAAAGAAGCCAGTCCAAAAAAAATAATCTTGTTTTCTCTGATTTGTGGTAATATATAGAGTACAAAAAACATACAATGTATATGAGTCAAACTGACATACTGAGATTTGATTATTGCTTTATGGTCCTTGTCTATATGTCTGAGTAGCAGTGGTTTTTCTAATTACTAATTGAAGCTTGTGATTACAAAATAAATCAAAAGTAGGTCATTGCATAAATTAAAATAAAATAATGTAAGGAGGTAGGAAGGTGAGAAGTATAGAAGAAAGTATTGTTACGTTCTTAAAACTGTATGTATGAAGTACATGAAATCTGTTCCCTTCATATAAATAATAAAGCATGAAACATGTGTTCCTATCAAGACATTCCCATTATCAAATACTCTAGGAAGAAAAAATTGAGTTTGATTATGAAATATAAACTAAAAATATCTGAAAGCAGAGAATTTAAGCAATACAGTTTAATTTCAGATTGGCACGGAAGGAGAAGGGAAATTTTCAAGGTTGGCAGAAAATTAAGAAGTACTTACAACTGTACATTTTGCCTGGAAGAACAGAGGGCCAGAGATATAATTCAACACTAGGCAATTGGTAGTAGCTAATGGTTGAATGCTGGTCAGAAATCAGAAGAAACACTGTTAGAAAACTGTTAACAAGAAGTCTGAATCTGGGTTTTGTGAACAGATTTCTCCTTGTCTATGTATCACATCCTATAAAAATGCTTATTGAAACACTACTCAGTAGAGGAGTGTCTTAATTATAAGGTGGACAAGATGACCTATTTTAGTTACCAGTCTCTTTTCCACCCATCCTATGCTTTCACAATGGCTTAACGATAGTGACCATTGACAGCAGTAATGGAGTTTATGCGTGAGCTCAACAAGATAGACTTCCACTTACCACAGTAATCTAGCTAGCGCCACTGCTATGTTCCCAGCCTACTAAACCATCCAACACTGCACCATCATTTCACACCCTTTCCTAGAGGAAGAGATAAGATCAGCCAACTATTGAGCCATTTCCATCAGGGAAGAAACAATGCTTTGTTCTCACTGGAATAGAAACTTACTTTAAATTTATGTAGATTTAGTTCTTCTCCTGTGAATTGGTCATCTATGTAGTAAAGTGCTTTATTCAGCATCATGGTATGCCACATATCCTGCTTTAATCAGAAACTTATTGGGCAGCAAACGAAATACAGCAGAGGACTCATGCTTATGGAACTCATTGGTTGCATCATGTTTCCATCACTGAAAGAATGGTGCCATGGCTTTTTTAAGTGGTAGTTACATGCTTGCCACACTGAGGTAATGACTTCTTCAATTGTTAGATTATTTAAAAAAAATAACAAATTTATCTTGCTATTTCCCTTGGCCAGGATTAATAGTAATCAAGAAGTGAATCAGTACCCCTAGTGATTCCCTAGAGAAATATTTATTTCCTGTTCTCAGAATGGCATATTTTATTGGTCTTTAAATCTCAGGCTTCCACCAGGGATTCCAGGCAAGGGTGCCATTAAACTGAGAATGTCACTTCAAACGGACTTTTAGTTTTATGAGGCAGAGTTACATCATTTTTGGTATAAGGATATCTTGATACTGTCTTTATTTGAAATGTAGGTATGATTACACTGATATCAAGTAGGCACAGAATCAATAACAGTAGTTTTCTAAATATCCATTCAGTTGAACTCAAACTGCTTTTCCCCTTCACTCTGTAGTTTCTCTTGGGCACACAAGAAATATCTGTGAAATAAGGAAGATGGAGATGAAATGGTAATCATTTTACATTTGATATGTTGGTACAGAACACCAGACACCATGGCAGCTTCTCTAATGTTTCTGAATTTCTGGTTTGCCTTGTCGAAAAGAACAGCTCCTATATATATTTAGAGGCCTTATGGTACAGTAGGCTAGGCCATCATTTGCAACACCTGCATCAAATATTCCATGCTGGTTTGAGTCCCAGCTGCTCCACTTTTGATCCAGCTCCCTAGTAACATGTCTGAGAAATCAAAAGATGGCCAAGTACTTGGGCCCCTGCCACCCATGTGGGAGACTTGGATGGAGTTCCCGGCTTCTGCTTTCTGTCTGGCCCAGCTCTGGCCTTTTGTGGCCAACAGGGGGGTGAAACAAAGGATGGGATGAAAGATGTCTTTCTTCTGTATCTCCTTCTGTCTCTGTAACTCTGCCTTTCAAATGAATGAATGAGTGAAGAAATGAATAAATAGATGTTGTTTTAAACTACAGAGTTCTTGGGTTATCTAGGAAACAGCAATAGTAACTAATATACTCTTCAATCATCACTGCAACCCACAGTGGAAAACAAATTCTCAAACTAACAATACCCTTTGAATTACCTGAAGTTCCTACAAAAAGTCATTAACCTCACTGAAAGCCTAATACACTCGGTCCTGTTAAGGGGATAAAGCCATGAAAAAACACCCTAAAACCCATGATTCCACAGAGTTTCACATACCAATAAAAAACAAATCAGTAAATCCTACCTTATGCTGCTATAGAGAAAAAAAGTAAGGAAAAAGTATAGAGACAGCAAGGCAAAATTGGGGTTGCAATTTTCCAAAGGGTAAACAAAAGCTCTCTATGTAAAGCAGATACATGACTAAAACCCAAAGAACTATAAGAAAGTGGGTATATTTAGTATCTGGAGATGTGTAACCCAAGCAAATGGATGAGCCAATGGAAACATCTTGAAGCAGGAGGTAAACTGGTCAGTGCAGCACCTACTGGGCCTATGTGCCCTCCTAATATAAATTTGCTATAACTATAGAGAGAAATGGGAAGGAGCTGGATTTTGAAGAGAAGAGTGTCCTCACTAGACTATATTTTAAAATGTTCCCTCTCATTGCTGTGCTGAAAAAACACACACACACACACACACACACACACAATGCATGGTAGAGGGGGGTGGGTAGGAAATTTGAGTGATAGCAAGTACAGAAACAATAAAAACAGCCCGAAATGTTTTTATATAATATTACCAGTGAAAACATGATATTTCAGACCAAGTTGGGAAAGATGAAGTATATAAAAGATGGTCAGCTTCAAAATACTTTGAAGAAAGACTCAACAGGATTTGCCAGCAATTAAATTAAGGTACATGTGTGTGCATATCCAAGTGTAAATTATTAATTCAGAAGAATGATACTTTATTAATCTACCAAAAATTTGTTTTTCATAATTCCCTGTACACTACACCCATTGCTTCAGCATTGCTTCCAGACACTGTAAGATTTTGAAAGTATTTTATTTCTTCAATTATTCTCTATTTTAATGAGCAACAGAGTGCTTACATGACAAATTGGTTTTGAAAGAATTCTGTTATTATAGTAACTGAGATGGTTACTCATCATTCCACTCAATGGGTGTAACTCTGCCTACAGGAGATGGGTTCCATTCTATTCCCATCTGTGTGGTTAAAAACACCCATGCAACAATACAGAAAGTAGTTCCACTGGCTAGCACAGCATCACCATACTTGTCGTGAAAATCCAGTGAGCGTTTCACATGGCTCTGTCTTGCCATAATTTGCTGAATGTTTCGAATCTTGAGACTACTTAGTGCATTTTTGGCCAAAAGAAACATCATGAAGTTGTGACGGGATTGCAGTTGATTGCAGCTACTCTATTTTGTTGCAAAGAGACCTGGAAAAACAAATAAAAAATAGGCAATGACATCTGATCCACATTCAGTTTCTCCTTCTTTGAATGTTTTACCCAGACCAAACTTTTGATGAGTTAGTGATTATGTATGTGACCCTTTGTGTAATGAAATCTGGATTTCATCTCAACCTTTCCACTGATTAGCTGTATGAACTTGGGAAATTATAATCTCTCTTCTCTCACTTTGCTCAAAGATAATGTTTTCGTCCAACTCCTAGGCATACAGTAAGGATTATGAGAGATAATCCAAAAGAAAACAAAATAATAAGCACTAAGGAAGTGGCAGCTTTTCTACTTATAAGAAATATCTGATATCCGATATCCAATAGTTTGGTAGATACACTCCAAACCTACCACAGCTAGAATGGCTGTTTAAATTCGTATCCAACTGTCTCCACTAGTGTAACAACCTATACATTTATTATCAGTTCTAAAGTTCTGTCAAGAATTACAAGGCATGCAGATTAAGTCCCACCTCCTGTCTCTCCTCCTACTCCTTTGCTTTCTCGTGCTTCACATCACTCCTAATCCTCCCTTTTCTATGTATAATATCATCCTATTCCTTACTACACACTAAATTCTACTTACCTTGAAAAATCTCAGCCTGAAAGTTAGCACTTCAGTGAAGAGTTCTCTAAAAATCTGCAGACTCAGTAAGCCTCCTATTCTCTGAGCTCCCACACATTTCATCCTCATTTAATAGCATTTAACAGAATAATTTTCTTTTAAAAAATCATTATTTTTAGAGCAGTTATTGGTTCACAGCAAAATGAACATAGAGTTTCCATACACCCTCAATATTTTCCATCAGAGTTCTCTATTTGATAACAACCAATGACTATATTTGCACACTGTTTGTTCATTCTTGGTGTTGTGAATTCTATGGATTTTGGTATAGACTGGATTATGGCATATGTCTATCATTAAAGTATGATGCAGAATAGTTTCACTCTCCTAAAAAATATTTTGTACTCAGCCTTTTCATTCCTCTTTGTCCACAAATCCTTGGAAACCACACCATTTTACTGTCTCTATAGTTTTATCTTTTCCAGAATATCATATAGAATCACACAGTAGGTAGTTTTTTTAGATTGATTTATTTGACTTAGTAATATATATTTAACATTCACCTATACCTTTTCATAGACTTCCAGTTTTCTTATTTGTAGTGCTAAATAATATTCCATTACCTGGATACATCAGAATCTGTTTTACTGAAGACCATTTTGGTGGCTTAGAAATTCTGACTATAAATAAATCTCCTATAAACATCTGTGTGTAGGTTCTGTGTGGACATAAGTTTTCAAATAAAAAGTATCAAAGGAACTCAAATTCTGGATTATAGTATGTTTAGTTTTGTAACAAACTTTCTAGCTGCATTCCAAAACAGTTGTACTAGTTTGCATTCCACCACCAATGCATTAGTTCTTGTTCCATAAAAGACTTCTTATTACTCCATATCTTTGTCAGCATTGTTGGTGTTTTAGATTTGTCAGTGTGCAGGTTATTTGATTTACCATTCTATAATGGGTACTCTAACATAAAACATTTTTAATTTACTTATTTATTATCTAAATACTCCTATTTTGGAAAAGTAAAATTTTTAAAACTTCTATTATTAAATTGGCTTCTTCATTTTCTTACTGTTGGCTTAAGAGTTCTTTCTATGCTCTGAAAAATAGCCCACTATCAGATATATGTACTGTAAATATTTTCTGCTAGCCTGAGTCTTGCCTTGTCATTCTTTTAAATTATCTTTTTACTCTCTTCCAATAAATTTCAACATCTCCAGGAGCAAGTGATATAATGGTATATATAAAATAGGGTGACACAAATGCATAGAAGGAATTTTTTGAACCAATTCAAGATATGAATGAATACTGATATTCTCACAATACAGAATGAATATTCAGAACAATTTTAACAAAAATTAAATGTGTATTTTGCAATAATGCTTCTGATTTTATTTCTTATATACTTGTATGAAACAAGAAATCTAGAAGCAAAAAGACACTAAAGATTTCTGTCAAATTCTCCTTTTTTTGGCAAGTTGTCAAATATTGCTTAGCCATTAGCAGTAATATATATTAACTGTTGCCCAAATACAGGCAACAGGAATGTAAAAGGGCTTGACATCAGTACTTGTAAATATATAATTGTTCACCAAGATTTTGCAAAATACTTTATTTCCAATTTAGGAAATAAGATCTTAAGGTTCTCTTTTATTTCCAACCATACAGAAGTGGCTCTATTCATAACTGTGATAAACAAGATAAATAGAGAGCCAAATTAATTTCTTGACTGTTCAAATATTCAAAATTATTTTCTTTCACATATGATTCTCTCCACAAAAGGGTAGCAAGGTTTAATTTTGAACGAAATTCAGAAAATAGGCTGAAGGTGAAATGGAACAGAGTGTGACAGGCACAGTCTAATCCCATACAGAAGCACCTGTGCCACACATTACTTTCAGCCTATAGGAAGGCTCATAGCCAGAGAATAATCTGTGGTAACAGGGATCTCCAGTGGGTCACTGACTCATACCTGCCACTGTATGACAAACTGAATTCATTGTTCTTATCCTCAACTCAACTCAGACACTTTGTCTGAGGCGACACTGATCACATATCTTGGGTCTTCATCCTTTGGCTATTGTCATGTTTGTATGGTTATTCTTTTCCATCTAGCCTGCATTTTCTTGTGACAACAAATGTCCAATACTAGAAATTTACCTTTAGGAATGCCGTTTGCAGTCTGTAGTTGGCATTTTTCCTAAGATATGCAAACAGCAGTCTTCTTTTTTTCTCTTGTTGGCATCAGCAACATCAAACTCAGTTGCCTTCCCAACTACCTTATATCAATCCTTACTTGAACAACACTTGTAAAAACTAAGAACCCACTGATAAGAGAAATTTTTTTAACTTTTATTTAATGAATATAAATTTCCAAGGTAAAGCTTAAGGATTACAATGGCTTCCCCCCCCCATAACTTTCCTCCCACCTGTAACCCTCCCCTTTCCCTCTCCCTCCCCCCTTCCATTCACATCAAGATTCATTTTCAATTCTCTTCATATGCAGAAGATCAGTTTAGCAAATATTAAGTAATGATTTCACAGTTTATACCCACATAGAAACACCAAGTGAAAAATACTGTTTGAGTACTAGTTACAGCATTAGATCACAATGTACAGCACATTAAGGACAAAGATCCTACATGAAGAGTAAGTGCACAGTGACTCCTGTTGTTGACTTAACAAATTGACACTCTTGTTTATGGCATCTGTAATCACCCTAGGCTCTTGTCATGAGTTGCCAAGGCTATGGATCGTATTTAGACAAGGTCGTAGTCAAAGTGGAAGTTCTCTCCTCCCTTCAGAGAAAGGTACCTCCTTCTTTGATGACCTGTTCTTTCCACTGGGATCTCATTCACGGAGACCTTTCATTTAGGTTTTGTTTTGTTTTGTTTTGTCTTGTTTTGTTTTGTTTGTTTTGTTTTTTTTTTTTTGCTAGAGTGTCTTGGCTTTCCATGCCTGAAATACTCTCATGGGCTTTTCAGCTGGATCCGAATGCCTTAAGGGCTGATTCTGAGGCCAGAGTGCTGTTTAGGACATCTGCCATTCTATGAGTCTGCTGTGTATCTCGCTTCCCATGTTGGATCATTCTGTCCCTTTTTTATTCTATCGGTTAGTATTTGCAGACACTAGTCTTGTTTATGTGATCACTTTGACTATTAGACCTATCATTATGATCAATTGTGAACAGAAATTGATCACCAGGACTAGTGAGATGGCATTGGTACATGCCATCTTGATGGGATTGAACTGTAATCCCCTGGTATGTTTCTAACTCTACCGTTTGAGGTAAGTCAGCTTGAGCATGTCCCAAATTGTACATCTCTTCCCTCTCTTATCCCCACTCTTATATTTAACAAGGATCACTTTTCAGTTAAGTTTCAACACTTAAGAATAACTGTGTATTGATTACAGAATTCAACCAAAAGTATTAAGTAGAACAAACAAAAAAAAAATACTAAGAGGGATAACGTATTAAGTTGTTCATCAACAGTCAGGGCAAGGGCTGATCAAGTCAACCTGTTGAAGTGAAATGGACACTATGAGAAACAGTGACTTGATCAGCTCTTGTCCTGACTGTTAATTTACAATGTAATACTTTATCCATTTTAGTATTTTTTTTGTTCTAGTACTATATTGGTTGAACTGTAATTAACACACAATTATTCTTAGTTGTTTAAATTTTAACTGAAAAGTGATCCCTGTTAGGAATCTGGAAAACATCATGCTGAGTGAAATAAGCCAGTCCCAAAGGGACAAATATCATATGTTCTCCCTGATCGGTGACAACTAACTGAGCACCAAAGGGGAAACTTGTTGAAGTGAAATGAACACTATGAGAAATGATGACTTGATAAGAGAAATTTTACATACTGGTTAGCTCCACAAGACATACCTCTAATAATAAATGTATTTGTTAGCAGTGAGGGCTAAACATAATATCCCAAGATAATATAAAGGGAAATATAATGACATGGTCACCAGCAACAGCCCTTTAATTGAAAATGTTTACTAGTTTACTATACATTTATCCATCAACTATGTCAGGGTTTGGGCTAGGTGCTGTAAGTACAATGCTTTCTCTCAAGAAGTGATAGTTCTAGAGAAGGAGACAGACTAGACATAAGCACAGGGCTCCCTTAGTTCATAGAGAAGGGAGACATTTCAACTTAGCATTCTAGAAATGGTTTTAGAAGAAATGATACGTAGATATTAAAAAATGATTTAGGGGCCGGCACTTTGGCGCAATGGGTTAACGCCCTGGCCTGGGTGCTGGTTTGAGACTCGGCTCTCCACTTCCGATCCAGCTCTCTGCTATGGCCTGGGAAAGTAGAAGATGGCCCAAGTCTTTGGGCCCCTGTATGCACATGGGAGACCAGGAAGAAGCTCCTGGATCCTGGCTTCGGATTA